AGCAAAGGAACTGTAACTGAAAGCGGATTGGAATTCTTACTGATTTTGAGCTGAACATTGGTCATTATTACAACATTGATATTATATATACGAACTAAAAAGAGTTTATACAAAATTCTAATGGTAATATAAAATTTCCACATTAAACTGCTGTGAATTACATATGAATCGGTTTCTAGAACAATGAGCTATTAACTGATTCTGATTTTTTTCTGAATAAATTTCTTGAGAGTGAAATTTTGAATAGTATTCGAAAAATTCATCAAAATAAAAGATACAGAAATTGAAAGTTGGTTCTATTTTCCTAATTTCTTCGAAACATGTTGGTCTCTGTGTACTGAGAAAGCCAAAATGGGGAGAGACATGATAGTTGAAGTTTTTCCCAATTATTTTTGAGCTACCGTTGAAGTTGAGGATGAATATATGCTGATAGTCAACTGAGAGTTCCTCTGGTGGAGTATGAACATATCTTCAAATATAATTTATACATTTTTGGAACCAAAAAACGGAAATTGATTTTTGGCATCGTTCAATAGTACTTTGAAATAGTCACTTTTGCTACAATTTAACCGACTCTCTCTCTCACCGTTTACGAGATTCCTATGCATAAAAGCCAATTTGTAAGTCAATTATATGCGAAAATTGATTTCTTTAATAAGTTCCCCAAATATGACGTTATATTTTTTCTAATTTATAGCAGTAAATACATACCTAGTTCCTCAGATGGTACCAGTTTTGAAGCTATGGCTCTAGTGGCTATAAGTGATGTACCATTCAGTATTTCCAAAATTGATCCTGGAAAAATAAAATATCAATAAGAACATTGTAACTCAAGTTTGAATTATTCCAAATGTTCCGTCTTCACCAGTTTCCTTTTTTTATTTTTTCTCTTCGTGTATTTGTCTATTGATGATATACACTCAATTTGCAAAATTTGTATCAATCGCGAAATTCGGCTGTTTCCTATTCTGATTAAATATATGGAGCGCTCCTCGTACCAATACATTTGGTCGATCGCTGAAACAGCAGCAGAACAACAGGGATTCGATATATAGACTCGCTACAGAAAGCATTTCAGATGATTCGATAACCTACTCAATTAATTAAGAAAGTTGCTGGCCAGCTAGTGTTATGTGATTCAACGGGTTCTTACGATCATCCTTATGGAACCAGAAGTCTCTCAACAAGACGCTACTCAAGCCGACATACACTCAGGTGAGAACCACAGCCACGTAATCTCTCTCGCTCTTTTCTTGTGTCCTGAACAAAATTCTATTGGGAACTTCCTCAAATCATACAATCCTATGTTATACTTACAGTCCACTTATCTAATGAAGCAACACCAAAGTTGATTTTGATCTGAAGAACATAACTAACAGAGGTATTTCGAATTCTACCTCGAAGTCAAAATCTCTTTCCCAAAATAAAATCTACCTTGCCTTATTTTCCATTGGGTTTAGATTATGTGTTTTACCTAATTCCTATGTCCCTGCATTCTAGAGGAATAACATACATTTGTGGCTTTCCTTGGATGTTACTTGTGTTTCATGAAAGAGTGGATTTGCTGTATGTATACTTGAATGAGACAAAAACTGAATTGAAAGAATGTGGCCCGCACTAATACCACGAAAGATCAGGAAAGACGAATTCAAATCCCGGTCGGGTATCCTTTTTTCAATTCAGTTTTTAATTCATTTACGTTTGCATACCGCAAAGACTTTGCTGTAAATTATAATAGAAGGTCAACAATATTTTACACACAATGTAGAAAATACCACAAAACATCAATTGAGACTTTGCAACTCAGTAAACCAGTAAACCCATGGATTTGTCATAAGAGGGTTGGACGCAAAACCACCTCTACAAGATATTATGGACGATTTACAGGAAAAACACCAGTTGGAACTGGAAAACATATCAAAGGCGACTTCTACAAAGCAACGCCCGTCTATCCTCCGTTTGAGGATTACTTGGTAACTGAGGAAACGTTCTAGGCAGATGGTATATTACCATTGATGCCAAGTATCGGAACACGCTACGGCTAATTGCAATAGGGCAACCAGTTGCTCAAAATGTACAGGAAAGAACATGCTTCAACTGTACAGAGGCACATCTGGCGAATAGCGCGGATTGTCAGCTCATAAAGATGAACTCGCGGAATTGAGACTCCGCACGGAAGTGAATCCTCCAAGAATATATAACGGCACCACCACCAAAAAACAATGCCGGGATAGGCAACTCCCGGCTAGTAGGGCAACCACAACAGCTTGATACTCAGCAATACAGAGAACAACAATATGGAAGACCACACCAAATAGAACGATTGCAGTCAAACCAAGATCCCCCACCTGGAAGGCGCGCCATCGGAACCCTTCAGAGTTGACCCAACAAGAATCAGATGTGTTCTCTGCTTTTGCACAAGTCAATGCGCTGATTAATGTGGACAAGATGCTGAGATCGCTGAGAGATCTGCGAAGGTTTTTATCTGATGCTCAGGAGCCTCTTGGGAAACAAACGACCTCTATAACGTTCCTCAAAAAAATTGTTAAAGCTTATCGCCTAGTAGTCCGGCACAGCATAGCACGGCGCTGTCCGTCGCCTTTTGGCGAAGGGTAGTAGCATCGCCCACTTGTCTAGCTACAACCAGCGTACTGAAGATGCTGTTTGTTAGATATCAAGGGAATTGTGGTTGACATCGAGCGGTGACAGAAACATTTCTATCACTAGCAGTTCTGACGAAGTCGTCATTATAGTGGCCGCATTATTGAATGTAGAAGAAAATAGTCAGAAAAGAGAATGTTGCGGGTCCATCCCATTAATCAAAAGGGGGCAAATCTAGGAGAGTTCCAGCATTTCTTCAAGGACCTGAAAGAAGACGAGGAGAATTTTTTTCAGTATTTTTGAATGACTCCAGGCGAATTTTCAGAACTTCTGGATATTCTAGAGTCTGCCTTAACGAGCAACTCAATTTTTCCTCGTCCATTTTCATAGACACCATCTGACACTGTGCTGTCAACTGATGGGATAGCAAAACAGAGAGACAGAAACTTCCCAGGCACTTTTGGACAAGTTGATGGTGGCAAGAGCTGGAATCCTATCCGGCGGCGAACGCTCTTGGCTGTACCGTGCCGTGCTAGTGGGCGGTTGTTCATTCATTTTTATTGTTTTAATCCTATACGTGTTTTGATGGGACGGGCCGTGCTGTGCTGTGCCGGACAAGTGGGCTGAGGCTTTCGCAGCCGAGATCACTGTCACTATTTTCCATTTCGCTAGCGCGAAACTAGTCCGGCACAGCACAGCATGGAAGTAGCATCGCCCACTTGTCCAGCTACAACCAGCATACTGAAGATGAATTAATATCTTCGATGACTGCATATTACGGCTGCGTAAAGCTTGTCTCCCATTTGTCCGGGACATCATAGCACGGCTCGTTCCGTCAAAATACGGATAAGATTGGAACAATGAAAATGAATGAATAACCGCCCACTAGCCCGGCACGGCACAGCCAAGAGCGTCCGCCACCGGAGAGGTTTCCACCTCACCGATCCTGTCCGGCAAATAACGGTACGTGCTGTGACGGATTGGCCAAGTGAGCCCGTTGCCCGCCAGCGCTTGCCAGCATTAACTTGTCCAAACGTGTCTGGGAAGATTCTGTCTCTCTGTTTTGCTATTCCATCAGTTGACAGCTCAGTGTCAGATGGTACCTACGAAAATGGAAGACGAAAAATTGAGTTGCTCGTTAAGGCAGGAGATACTGGAAAAAATTCTCCTCGTCTTCTCTCTGTTCTTTCTTATTAGTCAGTGGGCTATGCTTGAAGACTGGCATTAGACAAATCTAAAGAAATGAACTTTGAATATTCAAGCCAGTCTCGAATATACCTACACAGTAGGTTTTTAGAGTTGTTTACTGCCAGTCTTCAAGCTTAGCCCACTGACTAATGAAAAAATGTATTTCCTCATTCAGAGGAATCGAGCAAATTTCGAATATGCAGTTGATTATTATCTCGTCCACTAGATGGAGTGACATTTTTGTTGTTCGCTCTAATTTAATACGAGGAATGAAATACTCTGAAAGAATTTCAATTTTCCATTATGGAATATCATTGACTTTAGGTCGATGATGGTCACTATCTTGCACAGGCGAGCGGCTAAGGAGCCTGAAACCGGTCTGCAAGTGTGCCCGTTCCAAAATTGAAGGTCGACATGAATATTTCTGAACAAAAACTTTCGTTATGTGTTTATGACAGAAAAATTACTTATAGTTTTGAATACCTACTCCGATAAATTTTGTAAATAATATCCATTACAACTGTATTTGAATTACATACATAGTTCTTTCAGTTATTCTAACAGAGTTCATCTAGTGCCCTCTAGTAGTGGGAAACCAAATTATATACCTACATATGAATATTTCCGTTGTTTGAAGAGTGAAAAACGATATTTTAGGTGATATACAGTTTTAGTTTCGTGATTGCAATTACAGATGTTGCGTTAATGAAAAAATATACGCTGCCTGTTCAAAAAATAATATAAATTTTCATTTTTCTTAAAATATATTCATATTGTTCGTATCAATTTCCATTTCGCCCCCTTCAAAGTAGCTCCCCTCAGATACAATACACTTGTGCCAACTTTTTCCCAACCCTCGAAGCAGTTTCTGGTCTTGGCTCTTCTGGGCTCCTCCATTGGAACGATTATCANTAAGTCTTCCTATTGAGGAGAGTCGTTTTTGGCAATTTGCTACCAATTTAGACGTTTTTCGAGAGGGGCCAAGAGCTTACAACGCCGCTTGACTCTCCGAGAATATTTTTATTGACATGTGTATGAGGTTGGATTCTTTCAATTTCTCACACAATTCAATAGCGTAAATTTCCGCTCTAAATACAGTCTCATAGGTTCCTAGACAGGTTGATATCTCTGTCCTGGGTCTGCGACTGAAAACACCTGCACCAGAACCGGAAGGTGTTTTTGATCCATCTATGAACCAACAACTATCTGCTCTCAATATTTACTTCTCCCTGCCGTCTTGCTATAAGTGTCTATTGACATGAAAAAATACATCAGAATTACATTCATCAAGCGTGTGTCCAATTGGATTAATTCTTTCTTGAATAATTGAAAAATTAACATTCTCACCTAGAAGATTCGTCAACATACTATACGTTGAAAATATACTGAAATCCACTTCATCCCAGTTGAACCTATACCTAGTGAACAAGTAGGATACAGCCAATTCACCTGAAAAAAAAAAAAAATTTTGATTTTTTGCCACAAATTTTGTTCAGCCGAAAAACAGTCAATGTGGTTTGAATTGGAATCCAATTAATGGGAGATATTAGATAGTGAGATTAAATCTGGGTGTTTGCGAACATTTTTGTTTGCATTGTATGATGAAAGAAAAGAATAAATGATAACATCGACAATAAATATCGTTATGCTATGTTGGTCGAAAAGAACTACATTTGGCTCATTAGCTTGGGTGAGCTCAAGAGTTGGGAATGAATAGTTCCAATAAATGTTGTATCCCTCATTTTCCACAACGAATTCAATATCCTCGGAGCGTAGGGCAACATCGGTGTCTCGTCAATACCGTATAAGTGCCGTAAATGGCACTCTTAGGGACGCGTTTTGTCGATGGATATTTGCCGTATATGCCGGACATGCTGATAGGCCTTGTGTTAGGCTCTGCACCTTGTGTCAGGAACCCATCACGCGACTGCGGTGTTATCTTCATTATTATTTTACAGTTCCATTGGAAAGTTGGATTCATTTGGTCAAGTTCAGTGGAGGTTTCTGTTGATCCACACACTTTGGATCTACCTAAATTCAAAGCAAATATATAACATTACTATTTCAAATATTACCGTACCTATGAAAGAGAGGATGTCACCCTAAATTGTAACCCTAAATTTAAAATTGAAACTGAATGAAAAATATTCAATTGACTCACCGTGAAAAGGTCCAACAACAACCATAACGACAAACATGAGCACCAAAACCTTACTTCTTCTATTGTTCTCCCCCTTTTTGAAAACTACATTGAAAGTTTCAGTGATATGGTGAAAATCGAAAAAGTCTTTGATGAAGGCACATGGACCACTTGGTGGAGTCGCTGTCGACTTTTGTGCTTTTCCCGATTCCTGGATACGTTTGTACCCGTAGATGAAAGCCATAATATACATTACAGCAGAAATGGAAAACACCCCGTAGAAACCAATTTTTTTGTACAAGATTCCACTAAGGGCGAGCCCTATAGGAATGCTCAGTGAAAAAAACAAATTCGCTATGCCTATTCGCAATGTTCTTTCTTCCAAAGTGGTGATGTCGCCAATATAACTGAAGACTCCTGTGAACATACTGACCCAACCACCCGTTATGGCTGGAAAAAACCCTTCCGCAAATCCAGCCACTTCCATTGGGATCTCGTCGAAGAAGTAAACGCAAACCATCAGACTGATCACCGTCATAAACTCCCCCACGAGGGGTAAGAGCATGCAGGGTTTCCGCCTACCCCATCTGTCACTCCAAGATCCGATGAACATAACGAAGAATTCAGATGGTACCTACGAAAATGGAAGACGAAAAATTGAGTTGCTCGTTAAGGCAGGAGATACTGGAAAAAATTCTCCTCGTCTTCTCTCTGTTCTTTCTTATTAGTCAGTGGGCTATGCTTGAAGACTGGCATTAGACAAATCTGAAGAAATGAACTTTGAATATTCAAGCCAGTCTCGAATATACCTACACAGTAGGTTTTTAGATTTGTTTACTGCCAGTCTTCAAGCTTAGCCCACTGACTAATGAGAAAATGTATCTTCCTCATTCAGAGGAATCGAGCAAATTTCGAATATGCAGTTGGTTATTATCTCGTCCACTAGATGGAGTGACATTTTTGTTGTTCGCTCTAATTCAATACGAGGATTGAAATACTCTGAAAGAATTTCGATTTTCAATTATGGAATATCATTGACTTTAGGTCGATGATGGTTACTATCTTGCACAGACGAGCGGCTAAGGAGTCCAAAATCGGTCTGCAAGTGTGCCCGTTCCAAAATAGAAGGTCGACTCTTCCAGTTGTATTGCCAATTGCATATGTAGGAAATTTTCTGTGAAGATTCCTGCACCGACGCCTGTCGGATATAATCCAACGCCGTTCGTGGTATTAGCCAATGGAGTAATTGTTTTCGGCTAGACGTCAGTCCATTCAACCTACTATATCCGAAACTGGCTTGAATATTTAAAGTTCAATTGTTTAGATTTCTTTCAGGTCGTTGAAAATATGATGATATGGACCCATATCCTTCTTCTTTGTGACTATTTTCTACTACATTCAATAATGCCGCCACTATAATGAGGACTTCTTCGTCAGATTTGCTAGTGATTGACAGGTTTCTGTCACCGCTCGATTTCAACTGAAATTCCTTTGAAATCGAACGAACAGCACCTTCAGTATGCTGGTTGTAGCTGGACAAGTGTGCGAAGCTACTACTCGTCACCATTAGGCGACGGACAGCGCCGTGCTGTGCTGTGCCGGACAAGTAGGCAACAACTTTAACGCGGTTTGGTGTGCTACTATACCTGGTTTAGGTGATTCAGGTAGTCTGGTGTGATAATACCTGAACCTGGATTTAGTAAATTGTCAATAACGGTCGTTGACCCTTTTCTACCTGTCATTATTTTGCTATTCTTGGAGTTTTAAGGAGTTCAAGAATGGCAAACAGCATGACGCCAGAGTTCGGCCGAGGAATATTTAGTCCCTTCTCGTTGACTAAAGACGGCTCGCTACCAGCGCGAGGGCCGCTCCCCGCTACGTCTTCCCGGGGATCGTGAGGTCGTGCCTCCCCATTTCTTTCCTCACCCTAAAAGCGAGAAGAAATGGAATGATTATTGATTTATGCACCTGTTTAACGAACAGGAGAGCCTGGTTCGAATCTCAGCCGGGTCGAATTTTTGCAATTCTCTTTTTCTTACATTTATGTCTGCATACAGCAAACTCACTTTTTCATGTCTATATTACAGACGATAGAACATCCCTGTTTCATTGTATATCTCAAGATTAAGCTGAAACACAATGCCTTAAAAAACTTGTGCAAACACACGATTTGAGACAAGATTTATTGTGTATACGTGAAGTAAACTGAAAAAAATATTTTTCATACTAAGTTATGCTGCCTTCAATGTAAGGATGCAAAAGGCCTCTCTATTGTCTTCTGTTACTCTGAGATTATTACTTACTTGCATAGATAGATGGATTACCTACTCACCTAGATAGAAGATCAATGGAGTTTTTGCTAATCCATAGACAAAGCTAGAAAGGATTTTACTCATACAGGAATAAATACCAATAATAGCATCGTCGATTTTCAAAATGTGACTGAAAACGCCTACAGATATCGTCGAACCTGAAAATACAAGTTAATGAATCAGACATTTCGATCAATTTCAAAATGACTAAATGCCTAATCCAGGTAAAGATAAACGATTTACTCAAAGCATAGAAGCAAAGCATTGTTGCGAATTATATCATCAGAAAAAATGATATTTTTTTTCACACTTCAAATCTGTCAATCACCACTAATAATCTGATACTTGATTTGTGAATTGTTACTTTCATAATCTATGAATTGAATGACTTAAATAGGCACTTCGTCATTATCAGAACGAAATCCTTTTTTCCATATTGGACAGTGACTTTTGCACTACCGTTATTTAATACCTAGGTGATAAACGCTTTGGAGTGAGCCAATCCTGGAAGATTCTGACAGAAGTCCATGAATCTTCTTGCCATCCAGGTGTTTAATCTTTGGCAAAGCTTAAAGCGATGCCAATGACAGGTTCTGGTCCGATGAAGCTGCTTGCAGCACCCTATTTTGCAAGAGAGTCAGCAGACTCATTGCCGTCCAGGCCAGTATGGCCAGGAATCCACACCACAGACAATCTGTTAAGTCTTCCTATTGAGGAGAGTCGTTTTTGGCAATTTGCTACCAATTTAGACGTTTTTCGAGAGGGGCCAAGAGCTTACAACGCCGCTGGACTCTCCGAGAATATTTTTATTGACATGTGTATGAGGTTGGATTCTTTCAATCTCTCACACAATTCAATAGCGTAAATTTCCGCTCTAAATACAGTCGCATAGGTTCCTAGACAGGTTGATATCTCTGTCCT